AACCTCCGATCTTAAATTTAATCTGCAAGGTCCGCATTTACGGCCGTTGCTGGAAACTCGTCTCGGGAGCGTATCGGGCGAGAGATAGTCGGAGCGTAGCTTCGTACTTTGAGACACGAACGGCTCGATAATCGTATTGTGATCAGAGATTAGCTGGTGGAAAGCAGATTCGAAGCTATTAACGTTGTATCAGGACAATCGGTATGTTGCGTTCGATTTGTAATAAATCACGTGTATGATACCGCATACGTATTACGCGAGCGACGATGCCGATACCGTTCTGCGTTCGCGGAACGTTAACGTAGACAATGTCGGTGATCATTCGACTGATGAATAATCTCTTTCCATCGGGCTCAACAAAGTCGGCTGACTGAAAAGTCGAGCCGAGCTTTCGGACCGAGTCAACATCATTAATATCGCCGCTGCGCGATATACGCGGGCTTCTCTCAAGAATCAATAGCGAGTGCAGAAGCGGATTCAAGCAGTATTTTGAAAAAGAACTTGGCCAAAATGCGACCCGAGGTCGATATTTTACGAACAGCGTCTGATTGTACACGACGAAGCGTGATGTTCCTAATTTTCCAGCGCCGCATTCGTCGCGAGAGGCATATCGTTGGCCGATATGCGCGATTTCTTTGTGGTTTTAATCGGGAGCGAATGCGATCGATCATCGGGCTCTGGTGCGTTGCGTTTACGTAGAGAAAAACGCGTCCCACGTGAAATTCTATCACCCGTCCGCGATTCTCCGCCCCGATGGCGTTTACAAGCGCGATAACTCACCTTTTTTCTCGTATTCGCGTCGATACGATCCCGATGGCCGGCCACGGCCCGTCTATTTTTAAGGAGAAATCAGGGCGACTCGCTCTATATCGTACGCTAGAGTGGAGCCGGACGATAACACGCGGATAGCCGGTAATAGTAACTAGAGAGGGCTTGGGGCGCAGGGGGGGAGGGTTGGAATTACGACTGTATATTAAACACGGACGTGGTATGAATAGACGAGGCATGGCCTACCTTAGCATTGTTGAAGCAGCAGCGTCGAAGCATGCGAGGGAGATAGAAGCGAAAGACGATAGCAATATGCCGGCTCTTTTCTTGCCCCGCGGAGTGCATGAATATTCGTCTTCCGTGTACGTTAACAGAAAGAAGTAGAAGAAACTGCGCGAAAAGGAGAGGTGAAAAATGACGGTGAAAGAAGCGTATGCATGCAGGCTACGAGCGAACGTGTACGCGCGCGTTATTCTAATAATCAGAGTGGCTTTTGGAAAATGCCGAAGCGGTACTTCTTTAGAATCTCTCGGCTCGGAATTTCTGGAATCTCACGGAAAGAGTGCCAAGTCCCGTCCAAATTTTTCCGAAGGGCGGAAGTTTTGAATTCAAGCTCGACTTAAAATCAAGTTTATCATGCGTTCCGGAGGAAACGGTCCGTTTAAAATTGCTCGCCACTCGCTGAGTTTGTCAGGCCAATTCTTACAGTACTCGACGGTAAATAATGATTTTTATTAAGTGTCGCGATTAATCGCAAGTATATCACACTAGGTCTCGTTGGGCATGGCAAAATCGTGATTGCGATCAGCAATGTATCAAATGGTGCACATGAAATGGCTGCAAACAACGGCTCCGTCATAAATTACGCGTAATTTCACAAACTTCATTTTAAGCCGAAGTTGGACTCAAAACTTTTAGCCGCAGAAATTTTAGCGGAATGCCGATGGCCACTTGGTCGCTCTCTCGGTGAAAATTCACTCGGAGCGAAAAAGTATCGTGAATGTTTAACACTATCGCTGCTAACGTTCGTTCGGCAAACCGTCCGCCAGAGACCACCACATATATTTTTCCTTTTTTTTTTTATATATTATAGTATAAGAGAGGTTTAATTTGTTCACGTGTACGTAGAATGAAAAATGATCTCTGTCACGCGTACGGCACGCCGATTTCCAGCATGACATACGGCAACGAATGTATTAACTCTAATTTAGAATGAATTTTTAATCCGTACGAGTGAATATTCCAATCGATTAGGGCGAATTGCTACCATGACAGCGGAGTGCGGCGTGTCGGATTCATTTTCCAATTTCGAGCGAAAATATTCGCTCGACAATCCAGAGAGTGGAGTACTCTAAACGAGCGAAAACTCCGCGGCCACTGCACTTTTCGAATGGAATTTCACTCGAAGAAATTTCGAGCAAATCGACGGGGATAATTTCGGTGTCCGAATTCTACGAGCGCACGCGTGCACGTGCGATGCAAAGTTTATCGATACTCCGGCATGCAGATTTAATCAATTGGGATTAACTCAACACGGAAAGGGGGGGGGGGGGGGGAGGGGCGATCGCGAAGCTCGCGCAGCGCAATCGAGATCGATCGTGGCCGAAACGTTGACGGCAGCAACCGGCGATGACGAAAGTCGGTAATCACTTTTTAATAGGGGAGTTACTGCAATAAAGATTGCGCGTCGAAACAATCGGCCGAGTTATCGTCGCGACCCGATAAGTCTGGCAACTCGTTAAACACGGCCATTCGAGAGCTCAGGGCATAAACTCGGATTAGTTTCGGTCCGCGTGATGTGGAAAGGCAGAGCGCGCGCGCGCGTTCCGTAGTTTGATCCGATGAAGTTTCGATAGCGATTTCCCCAGCAACGGTAGTATCGGATTCACCGCCACGTCTCGATAACGCTATTAGCGCGCCGGCTCGTGTATAAACGAACGTCTCGGATACTCTAAGCTATTGTAGCCACGTAAATTAATTTTTTCGTCGCACCCTCTCGCGCGAACGCTCTCGGTCGATCGAAGAGCTTCTCCGTAAGTGGGAAGCGCCAGCCATGTTCGACGAAGATGGACGCAATGATAATTAACTTTTATAAAAGCAGAACTTATTTCAATAGGTCGATATTAACATGTTCAGTGATACCGTGTATAACATATGTGTACATTTAGATGTAGTTTTTTTTTTATTTATATATTTTTCACGAAGATATGACGAATATTATTCTGTACAAATATTGAGCACAACATTACCTGGCAAGGAAAGAGAGATCTTGTTACGTGGTACAGACAGATATCGTACTTTTACTAAAATGAAATCTTTTCTCTCCGGATAAATTCGTTCTTGAAAGGATTAATAAGAGATAATCCTGCGGTTTCGTCGGTTTTTCGCTTGATACTGTCAACAATCGAAGCTTCAGTTTGTCATCGTGTAAAGCTGAGAATACGGTAACGTTGATCCACGTGACAACGAAAGTTCCTCTTTTATACATTCAGTATATACCACGCGTTTTCAGAATATTATATTATTTATAATATAAAAATGCGGAAGTATTATAATGCGCCATTTCTCTTTTTTCCTTTCATTTTTCGCTTTTTCTCCATTTTCGACGCTACTTAAGGACTTTTAAAATGTAAAAGCTCGTTTCCACCTCCCCCCTCTCATAAATCTTTCAGCGTAATTCTTCACAGAGTAGGAGAGAAAGAGAGAGAACATTAGCAATATTATTTATACGATTTATCGTTGCGGACGACTAATATGCATTTACGTTTTCAAAAGACTCTCTCGATATACCGCGATGTACAATTATAATGGAAAAGTACAAATCCCGCATTATTGAATAAAAGTCGGACGTGAAGCATTTTTAACTTTTCATCGTGACAGAGCAGTTTCTATTTTTCCTTTCGTTTGTTCCGAGCGTCGCGATATAATATTCTCGTCTTACCATCGTTCTACGTTACCGAATCGAGAAACTGTCGCAGAAATAAAATAAATACAAGAAAATTGCGTGAAACAATTTTAGAGATTGGACAGCGTTACGAAATTATTCTCGCGCGAGTGTGTAGATGCGCCAAGACAACGACAAAATAGAACAGCGGCGTTTCCAACTTGGCAACCGCTGTTGCAAAATTAGAGAGGTCTCGTTAAAAGTTAATAGTATAATTAACGCTCTCAGGTAAATTTTCTCTCTCTTTCTCTCTCCCTCCCTCTCTCTTTTCTTTTTCGGTAAGCGCGTATACGCGAGACGACATTTTTAATTCGCCGTATCTCCGCTGGGCTCCTCCTTTTTACCCGGCCGAGCTCGACTCGTAACTCGCGGCGGGAGCTATACGACATAGCGGCATTATTACATTTTTCCAGGCATCCTCGCGATAAATTTCGTAGCTCGCGGTGTTAATGGCGCCGCCGCGATATTAGCCAGCTGCCTCGAGCGCGGCGAGGTCGGGAAAACGAAAGACCCCCGGGAAAAATATGGCTTATCACTCTGAAATATACGTTTATCGCGCCGTAATTTTTCTTTACAGAAGATAACGCTTCGCGCGTCAGATTAATTTCGCTGTTGACAATTATCTCTTAATTGGAGTCGACCACGCGAAATCAGCGTGAACACTCGAAGGATGGATCTCAAATGCCCCGACGACATTTTACTCCCCCGTGTTCGATCTTTTTATACGATGTTATTTCTCTCCTTTGCTTTTTAACGCGTTCACGATGGCGCTTAAATTACAGTCGTTCGTTATAATTCTTTCAGACTAAAGAAGAATTTTATCCGGTAACTTTTTTTGTAAGTGCTATTTTTCTCCCAAACTGCCTTTAAAATCTTAGGGAGAAATCGTTAAAAAAAAATTCTCGTTGAACACCAGAAATCCACCGTCATATCTGTGATGGTTGGACACGTAGTGAGTTATATGTAGAAACAATATCTGACCATCACGATTATGATGCCTGGCGCTTAAGAGCTAAAGCGAGAGTCCACGCTATATTCTTGATATCTACACTTAATATAGTCTATATTTGCGCTTATGTAAGATGTATTAAGTGAACAAATTGAGCGTTTTAGATAATGCGTCATACATGTGTGACGCTGCTAACGAGCGTGTGAAATAAAATAGCACCCAAACTAGAACGAGGTAAATGCTTCTTTTTAGCCGGCTTCCTTACAGGAGGAAGAGAGAGAAAGGAAGGAAGGGGAAGATATTCTTCAATGTCAAGCAATTTTCTTCTGCTTTTTGCAGACGTAACCTTCTCGACGGGAGTGGTTGCGAGAGTCCGGCGAGGGTGATGCTCTTGGCGGGCGGAAGTGAGGAGCCCCGGGCGGCCTTCGCTCCGATCGCGCCCGTCAAGGGAGCGGGAGGTCTTCTTCGGTCGCAGCGGCGCCGCGAGCGGAGCGGACGATCGCGCGCGGTGCGGCCGCAACTGCAACCGAGGAAGCGGCGGCCAGCGCAGGGGAGCAACGGCGCCTTGCGGTGCACGGCGCTCCTCTAACCGGCAGGCTTAGGAGGGAGTTATGGTGTCTCGCGCATGCAATGACTGTGGCCGCCGCAGCCGTGGCACTGTGGCATCGTGCCCACATCTACAAGGCGCTCGCGTGCGTCGTCCTCGCCCTGATCGGCGTGCAGTACCTGCTTAGCGGCGGGGTGCTCGACCGTCGCTCCATCGAGACCATCTTCACAATCAACGCGACCAGGTGAGTACCCCCGATCGTTCCGCCTCGATCTCCGCGAGATTGCCTCCCTCTCCATCTCCTCGGCTGAGATTCTACTCGAAGGATGGAGTCGCTCGGATTCCAGTAACTTCTCACTCGTGTGGATTGAATCTGATTCCACCATATCAAAGGAACAATTCCCTTCGATTGATCGAAAGACTCGTGTTGGTGATCACGTCCGCTACTACAGTTCATTCACTTTTTTATATAATAGTGTAAAACATACTTCGTTCATTTATTTGTATGTAAAATCCAAAAGTTTTGTGTTGGGAGCAAACGTGGTAGGAACCTACTCTAAGTCCGAGTTAAACATTCTTGCTATTTGGCAAGTGGCGGTATTTTCATTATCGCTTTAAGCAAATTTTTCCTGCCGTTGAGCCAGGACTAACTAACTAACTTTGCTGCAAGAAATTTAAAGAATAATAACGATCGAGTTTTGCGTTCAACTCAGTCCTGGCGAAAAAGTTAAGACCGCCTGGAATTTATCGTGATACTCTGTGCAACGAATGAAACGACCCTTACAGCATCTCGAAGTGGGCTCGAGGCGATTTTAAGTACAAGATCGGACTATGAATTCTACCGGGCTAGCCTGTCCGACGAATTGTCTCCACGGGGATTCGGCCCATTCGATATTCGACAGGGCTGAATCGTCGAGGAGAGAGGTCGTCAACCGATCCCCGGAAGCGTAAGACGCCCTGAGACTCGGGGGATTTTGAACTCTCGGATGCGAGATACGAATTCGGTGATGCGTCGAGAGCAGCACACACGTATTATGCGGCCGTCGCACGTCTTGGCGGGAGCTATTCGACGAAGGTCTCTCGGGACTCGCGGAATCCGCGCCTCCATTAACGCGAGGACGACGACGCGCGTGGATCCGGCACAACGCATCCCCGTAACTCGCGCGCTAATTGCGGTGTCAGCGGGCTTAATAATTGGCCGACTCGTTGTTCATCACCGATGCCTCGCGCCGCCGCGCACATTCGCGATCCGTTCGCGCCGTCTGTATTGTATTGCGCGCGGCGTCACGAATTTACGGCCTCTCATGAGCGAGAGATCCGCCTCTCCGCATGCGTGCGGTACGCGCTGACGCGAATTACTACCCTTGCGAGCGCAGTTTTGCGAGAAATCTCGCGGAAGGACCCCGGGATCGCTCACCGGCGACAATTGAGCTGGATTCACCCACCGGCGCTCTCGTTTGCGCATCGCATTCGATTTAGTTATTTCCTACTTTGTTTTTTTTTTTCTCGGCAACTGCGCCCACGGTTAAATCCCGAGTCGAAGTTTCGGCTCGGTGTTAAATCTTTCGTTCTGCAACACGGTGGAAGCACAACATAGCGAAGTAGGTTCGCACAATTTTAATTCTAATAATATAATTTCTTCCTAGTTTGAATATTACAATTTTTCGGTGGGAAATAAACCTGTTTGTTAAATCTTCACTTGTTTGTTCTACTCCGAGAGACGAATTGATTTCAATTCAAAGGAATTAAATTAAATTCAGAGAAGTCTATTTTTCTATGTAATCAGTAATTAGATGCAAGTACTCAAGAAAGTTTCGCATATTTCATCATTCTAGTGTAAAATGAAAACCGAATTAAATCTTTGGGAATAGTAAATCGAAGCAGTCGGGGAGAGCGAGTGGGATCTGTTCGGTTTTCCCATTTGGAAAACGCGTGTTCGAGACGTTGATTACTTTTAACATGAACCCACGTAGATTTGCCAAGCAGAGTTCATATAATTTTAGAAACCGCGCCAAATCTCAATTAAATTCTAGGGGATTTTCTACGTGAGGGATTCTGCTCCGTAATACGTGGAAGACGCCTCGAGCGGGATCAAACGGTCGGCGAAACGAAAATACAGCTTCCGAAAGTGGTGACGGCCGACGGAAGAGAGCGGGTGAAAGCATTTTCGCGCGCGCGTGTGTTCGTTCAAGCGCGTTATTCGAAATTTAATCGCCGAATCGCCCACCGTCGTTAATCGCAGTTTCCCGAATTATTTAACCGACCCGATAATCGAGCGACGCACGATCACGGCCGCGTATCGCTGGTTATGATTGAATTTTGCAGATGCGTTTTTGCGCGCTTCGCGTGTCGCGCTCGCTCATTATTGCAAAGCGGGCTAACGCGATTCCCAGCATCGCGATGGATACTTTGAGCGCGATCGGTCGACCGTGTTAAGTAACATCGACGCGCATAACGAACCGCGTAATCGCATTCGGCTCGCTGTAAAATTACCTCTTCCCCATTTCCCTCTCATCGGGCCCTCTCGACATCTCGTTAATAATTCGCGATCGTCACGCCGATCGTTGTCCCCGTCGCGACAACGAGAGATAAGCGCGCCTGCGTGCGTATTCGACAGGAATCTCTTCCCTCACACGCGCATTTCTATGCCGCGCGCGCTTCTATCCGAATGTAATTGCAGCGCGGAATCGATTCTTATCCTTTGAGGCTCGCGGTAGACACACGGGAAATCTCATTACCCGGGATGGTAACGAGGCAAAGTGGCTGCTTAACGACGGCGCGCCGCCGTTGCCGCCGCGGTGCGCGCATACACGAGCGATTTACGGAGCCTCGTAAATGGGAAATAATCGGTCTCTCGCGCCGCCGCTATCGATCGAAGCGCGAGCGAGCGAGCGAGCGAGTTAGTGACGGGCGTCGTGTCAGGCCGAACATAACGCGTTAAATCTCGCTGGTCGGAGTTGTTTTCAAAAGAAAAAAAGAAGAATAATATTAATAGAAGAATAAAGTGTCATATTAGATTCCGTTGTTAATTTGCAATGGTGCTGCCTGGGAGAGGCCATCTTGATGGCCGAATTACAGTCTGTTCAACGAGAAAATTTGCGCGATATTTTTGTAGAAAGTCACAGTAGCACCATCTTACACCGTTCGAATCTTTGAACCGACCTCTTTTGCGCGGTATAACAGTAGTACATGAAAAAGTTGCGTTGAGTGGTTGTTAAAAATAAATATGATTTTAAAAAATGAACGGAAAATATGCGAAGCGTTACGAGGCGGTGTTTCTTGTTAACCATTCCGAAGGACCAAGATTAACAATCGCGGCAGCTGCTAGAGCAATGGAAAAGTCAGAGGCTTTCGTAAGGAAGTGGGTAAATAGGTTTAAAACCGCTGTGAAATGTTGACGATCTCTCAGAAAGAGGACTCTCTCGTGCGACGACTTCGAAGGAGGACAAAACGATCTTGCGTCTCTTTCAGATGAATTCTACCCTTATCCTGCGTCAGGCCCAGGTAAAACTCCGCCGAAAGAATCTACACATCTCGCTTAATACCATCGGAAGCCACCTGCGTGAAAATGATGTGGCATTTCGGTCCACCATGAAAAAACCGCTGCTGTCAGAAAAACATTCTCAAAGAAGAATAGAGTGGGCACAGGAAAGTGTTAATCGAGATTGGGACAATGTTATCTTTACTTACTTATTTCTTGTTATCTCATCGTTTCCTTCGTTTAAAGTATATAGAATTAAACTATTATACCGCTTTGATCGAGCGTACTAAAGAAAAATCGCGCCGCTAACTTGTCAAGTCAAATATTTCTTTACATCGTGGAAACCTAAAAGATGATTAATATATTTTACAATTCGATTACTGCACAGTCATACTCTTCGTGGGATACAGTATTGGATACCTCACCTGCTCTTTATCTATTTCCTTTCAAAGATGTTACGGAGATAGGCTATTCGAATGTAGATTATTGAAGGTTTCCGAAACTTGTTTGGGCAGGAAAAGGCTGTTCTTTGTTCGGCGCATCGACGCGTTTGCTTGGCCACGCCAGGAGGGTTTACATTTTGTTCTCTCGCCCTACCATTGCTTGGGTCTTTTAGGTAGTAACTTGTACAGAAAAAAGAATTCAGTTTCTGTAACAAGATAAAAACCAGATGAAGACTTGATGACAAAATGATGAAAACTCATCTACAAGAAGTGATATCTTTGTTACCGCGATTAAAAATATTCGTGTAAACATTCGGCTGCATTAAAACTCGATTGACAACTGAAATGAAAAAACTGTATAGAAACTATATAGAAACTTCTTATAGGAATCAAAAGATTGCCTGGGAACTACAGACGAAAATTCGGTTGTAGAATTAGGAAGATTCCATTAGGAGATTTCTGCATAGTCCTTAGTCGTCTCAATCGAGTTTTAATGCAACTGAATATTTACACATATGTTTCTCAGTTGCGGTAACAAAGATATTACTTCCTGTCGCCGAGTTTTTATTTTTTGTCGCCGAGTTTTCATCTGGTCCTTATTCGGTTACAAGAAGTGGGTTCTCCTTTCTGTGTAAGTTACACAGAACAGAGGGGAGACCCGAGTAGAAAATTCAAGCGCTTGGCATTCTTGTAATACTGGTTTCTTTGCCTTATGGTGGGGAAAGGACAAAATGGTAACCACTTCTCACAGATGTGACAGTAGGGCCAGTTCGATCATGATTGTGAAATAGTAAGCATGCCAAAGCTCTTTTGAGCCTCACAGACCCGACAATAATCCTGCCGATTTCTTCAAAGGTAAGCAATTAATATATATATATATTAACCATATATATATATTAGTTGCAATATTAATCGCAATACATATATATATTAGTTGCTTACTAATCGGGTCTGTAAGGCTCAAGAGAGCTTTGGCATGCTTACTGCATACATAAGGTTAATAATAATGTACAGGATATCTAAAACCTTTCTCGGCATCCGTGTAGAACGGGTGAAACTAGACAGAAAAGTCATGTGCTATTTAGCAAAATTCATAATAGTTAATGAGGAATTAATTAATTTGTATAAGCTAATGATCGCATAGAAAACAATACTCAAGTTTTTCAGCAACTGAGGCTAATTTCAGACGGCTAATTTCAGACGTCGTTGTTGTTTGTCACTGTAAAAAAAAAATCAATAATCTATAATGTCTGAAATTAACTATATATTCAGTTACTAGAAGATTCAAATAACTGGGTAGTCGAAATTAACAACTCTAAA